GGATGGGGGTTTAGGCATGTTGTCTGCTAGGCCGTCCAAGAAGCCCCAGGGTACCTCAGTAAAAGAGATAATTATCTTTTATCTGCCATGTTGTGACGGGAGATTATGGTTCAAATTTACGATTGTTAAGGAGACAATACAGCACGAGGCTGCTCTTTTGAAAGTGGCGAGGGGGTCTCGAACAAGTGGGAGAACTCCCACAATGCTCCAGAAGCTCATCCCTCATGTTTTGGGCTTGAGGTCTTTCGAAAACAAAGAAAGGGGATAAGAACCGGTGCCATTTACTCTCAGAAAAATGACTTACACAAATCCTATCATAATTTTTAGATGACATTCTATATTGTGTGTCATATCAAAGTGCTATCGCAGGAGATCACAGATACAACAGACTACAATAAATGAGCTCAGTGTCACCATAAGCTCATTGTGGGGCCTAAAATTAGAGTTGTCAGTTGTTATTAAAAAAATGAAGTCGAAACATTTTTATCTGAGCTCAGAGTAGTTCTTATTTTCCAGTGATTCACAACAAAACCTCAATAACAAAAGTTTCATCTGAAGTTCTTGAGATTAAGATAACTGGGTTTCTTTGAGGGGTCCCAAGTGTTTAACCTCTACTAGAGTAGTCATCTAGGAGGTGGTAGGTGACAGCCAGACATGAATATTAATACTTGGCACTAACCATCTATGCCACCATCTTGACAGTATAGCAAAAGAAGGAGCACCATCATCCGCACTGTCAGTGTTAGCATAGGTATATTTGTAGCATAGGTATATTTTATCAGGCATTGTTCTGTGTTAGATGATATTCTTTGCTGTTTATGTGCGTTACGCTTACGTCTTCACTGTATATGAATTGTTTAGTATACCTCGAGGTGTCATTTTTTTTACACGTAAAGCTTGCAGTGTTTAATTTCAGACACTACACCAGCTAAATCCACACACTAGATCGTATACACTGTTAGCTAGAAATGGTACTAACTGTATTCTGTGTTTATGTTGTTTGTTTTCGATTTGTTGCACAAAGTAGGGAACACTTGCTTCATCGCTGAGAGTCTGTCCAAGAAGATGAAGCTATAGCTAGTGTTTGGGTAGCATAGCTTGGGTAGCTAGCCTAGTCGTACACCAAAACTGCCAGAAAGTACCAAGAGACTTCAATTTTTTTTGCAGTAAATAAACTATAGCATGCTAACTCAAGGCTTTCAGAGGTGCTCATGAGCTAAGCAACTGCTGTGAGTTCATACTGGGGGTATGTAGATGATAGTTGTATCTGTTGTGTCCAATGACTGTAGAAACCAATGACTGTTTTCTTAGTCATAGTGGTGTCAGAAAAGTTTCTGACTGTGTAACAATCCCTTTGATAGTGAGATAGCTAAAGGAGGAACATGTGCCTAATGGAGCTGACTTTAGTGTTTGATTGAAGGTAGTCTCTTGCTGCTAGTTTAATTGAGGGCAAAGTCATGTCATTCTACATTATATGATAGCATACACATCGCAGATTTGGTCAGCTTGTTCAAAACTTTTATCAAAGCCAGATGGCCACAAGGTATAGTCACAAACATAGTTCTCTAAAATCTAGAGAATGTCTCTAGATTTGAGTGGTTTTGAACATTTTGGCTACACAGAGAGAGAGTTTGCATTGATTACCCTGCTATAAGGCATTTCAGTATCACTCTTAGGAAAAAGAGTTGCACAGTCAACAAATAGCAGTAGAACAATTTTCACAAAGTTGAGTGTATCACATTCTAATCGACTTGTCATTAGACAGTGTTGTCTGTCTCTTCGTACCAGTGCCAAATTTTAATGTTATATGACACACTGTAGAGCGTGTGGTATGGGATGTGGATAACCATTAAGCCGAACCCACGCTTATTTTTGTTGTTTTCTTTTTTTTTTTT